AGGTGGTACATATACACAATGGAATGTTATTCAGCCATAAGAAGAAAACAAATCCTACCATTTGCAAGAACATTGATGGAGCTAGAGGGTATTATGCTCAGTGAAATAATCCAGGCAGAGAAAGACAAGTACCAAATGATTTCACTCATATGTGAAATATAAGAACAAAGAAAATACTGAAGGAACAAAACAGCAGCACAATCACAGAACCCAAGAATGGACTAACACTTACCAAAGGGAAAGGAACTGGGGAGGATGGGTGAGAAGGGAGGGATAAGGGGCGGGGGTGGGGGGCGGAGGGGGAAGAAAGGGGGCATTACGATTAGCATGTATAATGTGTTGGGGGGCACAGGGAGAGCTGTGCAACACAGAGAAGACAAGTAGTGATTCTACAGCATCTTACTATGCTGATGGGCAATGACTGTAATGGGGTTTGTCAGGGGGACTGGTTGATGGGGGGAGTCTAGTAAACATAATGTTCCTCATATAATTGTAGATTAATGATACCAAAAAAAAAAAAAAAGCTGGGGCAGGAGCCCACGAACCGTGGAAGAGATGCCTCCAAGCCGAATGGGCTCTATAAGCGTGGTTGTGGTCTTCTCCTCACGGTTCAGCTTTTTCTCTGGGGGTCCCGATGCCCCATCTCCAGCGGCTCGTTTGTTGCCGGGCCCATACATGGCTGCGGCAGCAAGGTGCAGCGCAGGGTCTCCCGAGGGACGTCAGACAGGCGGAGACGGCACTTCTGTCACCTACATAAGAGAGCAAAGTTGCCGAAGCTGCCGGTGCTCCGCAAGCCCGAGCTCCGCACCAGCTCCCTAGTCGATCCCCACCCCCGCCTGCCCTGGGCCCCTCAGCAGCAGCAGGATCAGCCCAGCACCGCCATCTTGCACTTCACCGGTCGGCATCAGCCTCCCCAGCATCCAGCGCAGGCGCCAGAGGCAGTGCCGGATGTGGCGAAACTTCATTTCCTATTTCTATTGGTCACGCTTTGTCCCGCCTCTCGGGTCCTGTTTGGTTTCTTCCCAAAGGCCTCCTCCTTCTCTCGGCGATTGGCCAGCGTTCAGGTCCCGTAGTAACTGACCCCCACACTTCCTCTCCCGAGCCCTGACATCACCTGCCTATTACCGCTGCAGAGGGGGCACGGGGGTTGGGTCTGCGGCTTATTACGCACGCGCATCGCCCTCTCACTGATAGGTGAGCGCCCTACACTTTTTCCCTTCCTTCACGAACTCCCTTAGCAACGGTCGCCGCCGAGACGGAGGGAGACGCCCCCGGCAGATTGGCTACACCAGGCTCTCTGCGGCGTAGATTGGCTGGATCGTCGGTAGAGGGCCAGGCTTAGCAGTCGCTGCTAGAGAACAGACTATCCCAGAACCCAGGCGGGAGAGAGTCTGTGGTGATACAGCGGAGCAACGACATGATCCGCCAGAAGTCCAGCCAATTCCTGGGACTGAGGATACAATCGGAACTTCAAAAGGCCTCCGAATTACGGCGGGAACCCGAGAAGGACCTCAGCTCAGTCAATGAATCGACTACGCGGACTGGAACAGGTGTGCGGACTGAGTCCGGGACCGCGGCTTCGGTGGAAGATGAAGATCCTGCAGCCAACTTGTTCCCGGTGAGGGCGGGAGACAGTGGTCTGCTTCGGAAGGTTTCTAAAAGAGCTCCCCGCCAGGGCGCCACTCGTCTTTTGTTTACTAACGTCAAAGACGTTTCCCGGGCTGCCTTGGCGAGGAGGCTCAAGAATACTTAGGGCCTGCTGAACCCTAGCCCAATGGCGTTCCTTATAGTCTTTAGAATGAGAAGGCAAGTTTGCGCGTTCTCAGACCTGCTGGAAATTCGCAACAGGCCAGGGACTAGAGAGCAGGGACAACCCAGCTCTGCCTTTCCCAACCTACTTTCTCTCCGCAGCCGCCGCTGCCCCAGCCCCGGATCTGCATGTGGTGAGTGTGAGGAAGACTTGGAGGAAAGTTACACTTCACACTTGTATTATTCCTTTAGTGCCTCCCCGACAGTCCTGTCACACAGCCAGGGCACCCCCATTTTGCAGATGAGGAGACTGAGGCCCAGAGATGCAATTCCCCAAGTGACTAGAAGCCAGCAGTCCCGCCTCCCCAGCTCAAAGAGGTTGTGTGAGAAGAAGGGAACCAAAGACTGAGGATATAAACAAAACATCATAGCTATGGGGCACTGAGGCCCACAGGGGGAATTTGCCCAAGGTCATATAGCAAGGGAGTGGCAGAGCAGAGACAAGAACCAAAGTTTCCTAACCTTAGGCTTTATAAGTGAAAAGGATCACAAAAGGTCATTAAGCTATTCCCCTTATTAAAGATGGAGAAAGATGGAGGCCCAGAGAGGGAAGTGACTTGCCTAAGGCTACACAGCAAGTTAGTGGAAGGGCCAAACCCCAAACTCCTGTCTGGTTCCCAATTCAATGCTCCAGGCCTCATAACACTGTCATGAGACAAATGCATGATGACCACCACCATCTTTTCTCCTCTTTTCCTGACAGGAAGTACCTGGACATCCACTCCATGCACAGGCTAGAAGAGACAGCCACCGTTGAAGAGATGAGGGAGTATGGGGGATAACGGAGGGGGAAAGAGCTAGCTCTTGGGGAAGGCTGTGGGGGGTGGGCTTGAAAGGCATGAGGAATGCCTACCACCAAATCATGTGGGGCACTAGTGTGGAGTGGTGAAAGGAGGTTCCATTTGTCATTTACTCCTTCCTTCCTCCCTCCCTCCCAAGGGTGCTGGCTGAGCTGCTAGGGCTAGGCTGTCCTAAGCAGAGCCTGAGGAATGCCATCACCCTGGACCTCTTCTCCCATGCACTTCTCTTCTGCCGCCAGCAGGGCTTCTCACTGGAACAGACATCAACGGCTTGTGCCCTGCTCCAAGATCTTCACAAGGCCTGTGTTGGTGAGAGGAGATGGCTACCAGAGGGTTTCAGCCCGAAGGATGGCAAAAGTGACCGTGGGAAGTAGAAGTAGGGGGATTACCACCTGGAATCTTTGTTCTGTCATTACTAGCAGTGTTATTACCACACACGTTATTTCAACTCTGAAACTCTCCATTTTCTTATCTATATAATAAGATACAGCACTACTTTATGAGGCTGTTCTGAGAAATACTATTATATATTATATTATATATATTATATATATATTATATGCTAATTTATGTATAGTGCTCAATAAAATATCTCCTAACCCCACCTACCCCCTCCCCTTATTCTTGGAACTGATTTTCTTTCAGAATGTTTGACAAGAGCTGAAATTGTATGTTATTTTATGTTAGTTTATTGTACGTTATTTCCACTAAACTATAAGCTTCTTAAGGGCAGGACCTTGTCTGTCTTGCTCAGTGCATAGAACAGTGCTCAATATGTGGGTACTCAGTATTTGTTGAAATTAAAACAATCAAGACTTAAACCTAGATATGTCCACCCTTCTAAAGCTCATGCTCAATAAAGTCACTGTTTAGTGAGTGAAACGAATGATTGTCAGGGAGAGGTCTCATTGTCACATCTTGCTTTCACTCCCAGCAACCCCCTTGGGCAACGTGGAGGAATGTTACCGCTACTTCACCAGTGTTCTTTTTTGCCATGGAGTCAGGGTCAGTTCCCTCTTCACTGTGCTCCAGACAAGGGCTAGCCCAATCTCTCACCCTCTCCTCACTCACCCTCATCTTCCTCTGAAGGCCTCAGTGGGCTCTCCCTGCTTCTGATGCTGGGCACTTGGAGAAAAGGCCAGGGCTTCTAACTCCCAATCATCCCACAGCGGCCCCCCTTCAGTATTGACCTCTTTAAGGAGGAACAGCTGCTGACCCTGGCAAATTACGTGGTCAACACCTACTTCCGACACTTCAAGCTCTACAAATATGTCTTCAGGCCCCAGGTACTGGGCCACAAACTAGAAGAGGCCACTCCTCAAGCTCCCCTTTCCCTCAGTGCAGATGCCCTCTTCCTCCGTCTTCGCAGGTGCGGCTGGATCTATCTTTGACTTACATGGGACTCCAGCCACCCAAGCTCCAGCCAGAAGATGAGATGGGTAAGGGAGAATGTCATGAATAGGGCTAGGGCTAGGCTGCGGCTGAGCTGGTGCTGGTTTTGGGGCTGAAGCCTCTTTCTGCTTCTGGCTTGCAGAGAAAAAAGAAGGCAAGGAGGTAGAGGAGCAGGCAGTAACCCCACAGGAAGAGATACCAGAAACAGTGGTCCAGCCAAAGCAAGAGCCAAGTGAGGATCTGGAGGGGGTAGGATCCCATGTGACTTGGGGCAGATGTAAAATTAAGGGTTTAGACCACATCAGGGCTTCAGACTTTTTGTTCTGGTTATGGTGTCCTTTCTCCAAATTATTCCTAAGTCCAAGATGACAGATAAAGCACAGCTGCTGTCAGTGAAGCAGGAGCTCCAGAAAGAGATTATTATAAAACCGATGACAATAACAGCCAGCACATATTTGGCAAACCATGTGCCAGAGAGGCCCTGTTTTCAGCATTTTACATGTTAACCCATTTACTCCCCCTCAATCCTAGGCACTAGGTGCTATCATAATCCACATTTTACATAGGAAGCTGAGGGACTGAAAGGTTAAATAACCTGCCTAAGGCCACACAACACTAAGCAGCAATCCAGAAGGTCAGGCATAGCCACTCTACTCACCTCCAGAAGCCTCTCTCCTGACATGCCCCTTCTTCCATGCCCCACAGGCCAGGTCTCCAACCTCCAAGCCTACATCAAGACCCAGCTGAATGAGGAGCTAAGGCAGCTCCAACAGCTGGTGGGAGAAAGGCTCAAGGCCAGCGAGGACAGACTCAGCAGCAAGTTAACCATACTAGAGCGGCCCTTCCAGCCACCTCCCAGCAAAGGCAAGAACAAGACCAAATGACCCCAACATTTTCCCCAATAAAGGCCTGAGCCAGAATGGCCCCCTCCCTGCCCCACCTCCTAAGCACCTTCTGGACTTTCCTGCGAAAGCCAGACATCAGACATGGGGCACTGGCTCCCTGGTCCGCAGCAGACTTTATTGCATAGGCAGCACAGGCAGCACTGACAAGGCCCGGCTTAGCATTCTGAGTGGCTCCCTTCCACCTCAGCTCTCAGCCCAAAGCCCTGACTGGTGAGGTTAGGTGTACAGGGCTGGTCTTTATGGTAGTATGATCGGTCGTGGGCCTGGCCAGGAATGTTGGGGTGGGAGGGGCCTGAGGCCAGAGCCCAGAGGGAATGGAATGATAAAGATTCTCCTCCTGGAGATTCCTGCCTTCTGGGATTCCCCAGGGCTAAGGTGCTAGCCCAGTACCACCATGGCATCATCTTCAGGGATAATAGCTGAGTCTCCCTCCTCTTCAGGGCCTATGATGGGAAATGGCCCAGGGGGCTGGTGCTGGAAGAGGGCTGCTCGGTTCTGCTGTTCACCCTTCTTCACCCAGTGCCCATAGAGCCGGAAGGCACAGCTGTCAATGAGGTGCCGCACTGGCCGCAGTGTGTAAGGGTCCCTCAACAGTGCACTCTTGGTTAGTGGACGTACACGGTGGATGCTTAAGGCCACTCGTCCAGCAGCCAGCACTGTCCACACTGCCACCTGGGAAGGAGGGGCACAGTGTGAGCTCCAGTGGAGCATCAATCACAGGACAAAAAGCATGGGACAGAAGAGCAGGCCCAGCCCCTGACACACTCAGGCTTACCCGGAACCGCTGGCGGGGTGTGAGGTTCCAGGATCGGCTTCCTTCACAGCGCTCAAAGAAGGGGTGCTGTAGGGCTTGCTCAGCTGTCAGGCGTTCCTCAGGATCCACCTGCAGCAGCCTTGAGATCTAGGGGAAACCCCAGAGCATGAGGGGCAGCTCTTGGGCCTCCCTCCTTACCTTCTCACAGCCCCAGCTCACCAGGTCTTTGACAGTATTTGAACAGTCATCCCACTCGGGTGAACTAAACTGGTACTGTCCCTCCATGATCATGCGCAACATCAGGATCTGGCGTCGGTGCCAGAATGGTGGTGAGCCAGCCAGGAGTGTGAACAAAATCACCCCACAGGCCCAGCTGGGGAAGAGACCAGAGTCAGACAGGACTAGGTAATAGGGAAACATGTTAAAGGACAGTACACAAAGGGAAGGGGGAGACCAGAAACTCACAGGTCGACTTCCTTGCCATAGCCTGTGTGGGTTTCATCCATAGAGCACTTAAGGATCTCCGGTGCCAGATACCCGGGGGTCCCACACAAGTCTGGGGAGAGAGGGCTGAGATTGATGGGATGCTACCAGCCCCCTCATGGCCTTTAACCCCTGCTGAACAACTCAAATACCCACCAAGGCTCCTGGTGGCCTTGTTGGGGAAACCTGACTTGGACTGACTTCAAGGTCCTACCTAACCGTATCATTTGCCTTCTCCAAACATTCAGCCAAGCCAACCCACCCACTCCTCACACAACTTGTTACCAGGTTTTTACATACCTAACACACAGAAAACAAAACTTAGGTCTTTTCTGCATTCCTTTCTGCCTAAATCTATTCCTCCTCTTGTCATCTTTTCTTTGGTTAGTAGAACCACCACTCAAACCAAAGCAAACAACAGGGAATATGGGATTTCTTAAAGCACATGCTGGTTAAGTCCCTTGTTTAAATCCCTTCCCTGGCTCCCCATTATGGCCTCAGGATCTAGACTCCTGCTGCACAGAACCCTCCATGACTTGATCCAAGCCTCAATTTTTAGCTGCTTCTACCACTTTCAGACATCAGTTCTTCTATTCCAGCAATTTCTAAACTGTGTTCCATGGCATACTTCTAAAATAGGCCTAAATTTAAAAACAAATCTTTGAGGAAATTCATTCCTACACCAAGTATTTAAGAATGCCTACCATGTACCAAATACCATACTAAACACAGTGGTGAACTACATGGGCCCTTACCAAGCCCACTGTCTACCAGAAAGCAAATGACAAATAATAGAGTAAAAGGTGTGTCATGCAGGGAGAATATATAATAACAAAATGTAGGGGATCTAGAATTACCAAAGCCAAGGGAAAGGATGGAGTGGGCAGGGACAAAGATGAATCCAGAAGGGGGTAAAGTGTATGTGGAAGCCCAAAGGGAAACAAAGCACAGCATCTACAAGACAGATGTGTAAGCCCACAGGATGGGGACATGAGCTCTGGAGTCAGACTATCCAAGTTCAAATCCCAGCTACCTGACCTTGGGCAAGTCACCTCACCTCTTTAAGCCCATCTATAAACTGGAGACACAAATACTATCTCTCTCAAAGAGTTGTTGAAAGAATCTTGAGAAATAAGCCATGTAAAGACTTAATCTGGTGCTTAACTCACAGTAAATGCCCAGTTTATGTTAGCTATCAGTACGTCTAGTACAAAGCCATGAAGGGAGAGAAGGTGACACACTAAAGGCTCTGAGGAGCCCCACAGTTGAAACTTGTTTTCTAATTGCACTAGAAATATTTCTGTCACAACAGGTATGGACATGGGTAAGCCCAAGTCCCAGGGCACCAGGTGAGAAGTGCTGCCTGGCCACATCAGGCTCCTTGGCACCTGAGCAGCACCCCATGGCCTTGTACCTCTGCCAGAACCCTAACATGCAGCTGAGCCCTGTCATCCCCTGTTCCCTATTTTTCCTTCTGGGACGAGCCCAGCCTCCCAAGGCCCAGATCCAGAGCCTCCTCCTTCATGGGCCCCTCCACCTGAATTAGGTGCTCTTTCTCTGGCCTTCCCCAGCATGGCCCCTTGCACACTGTATGACACTATCTGCTCCCTTGTCCATCTCCATCCTCCACAGGTCAGGAAGCCCACTGAGTTGCATACCAGGCTTTGTACCCAGAGGGTACTTGGGAAGCGCTCACTGACTTCTCCCCTTTTCTTGGTATCTGGGACTCAACTGTCAGACCCAGCCAACAAGCCTCAGGCTGGGTCTCCTACCCTCCCAAGCCTCTTAAGGGAACCAGGTCCCCTCACCTCGAAGCTTCTTGCCAGGTTCCAAGTGGCAGGAGAACCCAAAATCTGAAAGTCGGATCTGCATATTGTCATCTAGGAGAATATTCTCAGGCTTCAGGTCTCGATGCACAATGTTGTTGGCATGAAGAAAGCTCACTGCTTCCAGTAGAGACCTCATGATGGACCTGGGGGAGGTGCAGTCTCCTCCTCTGCTGCTCCCTGCCCTGCCCCACTCCCTGCTCACCCCACGGCAGACAGGCTCAGCCATTACCTGGTTTCCTTTTCTGAGAGGGCGACCTTCTCTGTGAGATAGTCAAACAGCTCTCCCTTCCGCATCCTAAGGGATAGGAGGGGTTGGAAGGGAGGTGTACCTCACTGTGGGGGCTGAGAAGATAAGCCAGTGCCCATACTTTGAAAGAAGCCCAGTTAAAGAGATTCCTCTGTGGATAAACTGAAGGATCTCAAGAGAGAGTCCTCCAAAACTGAATTGGATGCCAGGGACAATTTGACCCAGTGGGTTGGCAGTTGAAATATCTATACTATTTTATCAAGAATCAGTGCCTCCTTGTGAAAGTAGTTTATAGGAGGAGATCCCTGTTAACTAAGAATAACCACACTCAAAAAAGTCCTTTTAAAGTTAATCTATTTAGACCACGGACCAAAATTTCAGTTAACAGTGACCAAAAATGGACTTTATTTTTAATTTTGCTTATTTTATCTTGTCTTTAACAATTGAGGTTAACTCCATCAATCCTTGAAGTGAAGAACACATCAGGCTTTGTTTCAGGGAGTAGCACTGTTTTGCAAAGTTGCACAGAGGAACAGATACTTCCTACCTCCCCTCTGACTTCTGCAGAGGGTTGTTTCTCTATGAAGACTCTGCATTTTTTCCAAGGGCCTCTCTTAAAAATCTGGTATTCAAATCATTCTCTTTTGAAGTACCTTTGCAACTGGTTTGCATTATATTGTACAATCTCTGACATTCAGATTCAGACCAGAAAAAGAACTGCTGGGCAGAGACAGACACCAGTGTAGGGTGTTAAACAGTGAGAGACTGGTGAGCAAGAATCTTTATAAGTGGTCACCTTACAGACACTCTCCTCTTAAAACAGCCTTTTCTTCCCTGCTAACCTTATAACCATGGGTGACTGAGACAGTGACCCATTGTATTTGGCTGGTCATGATTACTCTTGAAGAACTTGCCTCAATCAGGGCACTTAGGAAGATGGGCCAGAGCCACAGGTAGGGCAGGCAGGGCCTAGCTAGAGTAGAGGAAGGTGTGAGCAGAGTGATCTACAGCCCACTGTGCTCTAAGGCTGAGCCATGCATGTTGGTGAGGAGGAGGGTTCTCACATCAGGGCAGGGAGATACTCACAGGTCAAACACCAGGAACATGAAGCTAGAAGACTCGTAGGAATCGATGAGAGTGACTGGGGAAAGAGGCAGAAAGGCAGAGACAGAGCTGGAAAGGAGCGGTTGCATGTTAAAGGGGCTTTCCACCCTGAGGCAGCAGTGGGCTGTTCCTGGGAAGGAAGAACCACAGGCCACAGTAGGGACCCACTTTGAGGGGGAGTAGAGCCAGGAGGAAGGGAACAGAGGCGTGGAGGCAGTGTTGGGGAAAGTGGGCTGTGGGCAGGGCTAGCAGGAGGTGGCTATCAGCTAACAGTAGCAGGGAATGCAGCCTCACTGATGTGGGGGTGGCCGGCGACTTGGCGAAGGATGTGAGTCTCTCGGCGTGTAGCTTCTTGCACCTCCTCCAGCTGCTCAGGACTCAGTCGCTCAGCTGTCACCTCCATAATCTTCACAGCGAACTCATGCCCAGTAGCTCGATGAACACAACGGCGGACCACAGAGCTCACTCCTCTGCCAGAGTCAGACAACACCCAAGTCATGGACTCCTGCTCTCCCATCTCCAAGAGTGGAGCCTCAGCATCTGGATACCCACACACCAGACGCTGAAGACCCATCCAGACAACAATGCAACCAGGGTGGAGCTCACCCTGGCCTCATGCAGCTTCACTGCAGCCTCAGCAAGCAACCTAGGTACCCACAAGGTGCAATATGAAGCTCAAAGGAAAGGCAGGGGTTTCCTGGATTCAAATCCAGTCTGCAACACCCTCCATGGGTAAATATTTTCCACACTGAGCCCCAAAATCTGCCCCTTGCCCTGGGATCCTCCAAGGAGAATGTGGGAAAAAATTATGTAAGGCTCCCTCCAAATTATACTCACACTTCCCTGATAATGCCACCAAATCCCAGAGTTCCTCTATATAACCCAAGTGTCAGAGGCTCCACACAAGTATTGGGCCACTGACTGGAAGACCAAATTGAGAATTAGGAGACCTTAGTTTAGGCTCCAGATTTGCCACTGATTAATCTCCAAGTGACCCACGGACATGAAGTGTCTGGGCTTGCACTTTGCCAGCTCTGAAACATGGCTAAAGATACCGTCGAGGGATGTCAAAAGGTTTTAATGAGGTAGAGACAGGGAAGCCCATTTGGCATTGTAAAGAGAAAGTCATAGATGGGGATTACCTTGCTTAGATTCTGTCACTGACTCCATATGACCCTACAAGTACCTTAGGTTAAGGTGCAAATCTCTCCAGGACCAGACCTCACATATTTTGTATGCTAGTTCTCTGACTGCCTTCACACAACTTTACTGCTATGCTCTCATGGCCTCCTTTCCTTACATCAACTCCTTTTGCTTGGAATAACTCACCCACATCTGTGGTTCAGTCAAGAGATGCAAACTATCGACCTTCCAGACATACAGCCCACAGATGTGTTCTGTTTTAGTCAGTGCACTATTATTTACAAATCTGAACACACATATCTTAGAGGGGACAAGAACTCTCCAGCTGCCACTGTGCTCACCATTTACTACCATCTTACTCTTGGCCACTTCACAGTTTTGATTTCATGCCCGATCACTAAGGGCATCTGATTTGTGGTTCCTTGTCTAATTTTTAATCATCTTTTAACAACCTCTGAGAATCTGCTGAAAGCTGGAGACCTCTGGCCCATACAACCGTTTTACAATTTCTGGGGGTTCAAAGACCCTCCAAGCCATCCAGCTAAGAATCCCTGCTTTAAGACCTAATGTAAATGACCCCTCCACCAATTCTTTGTGTCTTCCCCAGGAGGAAGGGGCCATTCCCTTCTCTGGCATCCCATAGCACCTTACCTGTAAAAGCATTCACTCTTCATTAAGCCTTCCTACTGTGTACCATGACTATCTACATGGGAAACCCAGGTCTTCAGATTCAAAGTCCTAGTTCTATTGATACACCCTAGTACCTTGTTCTCTGACCACCTCTTAAATGTTAAAGCTTCCTCAGAATCCCATCCTTGGCCCTGTTCTCTGGCTATGTACACTCTCCCTCAGTAATCTTACCCATCAACATGACTTCAACCCTCATGCCCTGTAGTCTCCCTTAGGTGTCAGGCTAACATGTCTCACTGAAGATTATTCCTGAGGGTCCTAGAAAGATCTCACTTTCATTATGAGCATTGAACACCTCATCTTCTGCCGAAACTAGCTTCTCAATCCATATTCCTTAGCTCAATTAATGGCAATACCATTCCATTGGAATCATAAACTAGAAACAGAAATCTTGGTACCATTTTTGGCTTCTCCCTCTCCTTCACAATCCACCACAATCAACCAGTCCAGTCCATTCTGCATACCTCTCAAATCTATTTCCTAGTACTTCACCGCCACAACCACAACAGCCTCCTCACTAATCTCCCTGCTATCAATCTCAACCACACTACAACCCATCTGCCATAATGCTTCTAGAATTAGCGTCTTAAAACAGCCTCAATCATATCATTTGCTGCTTAAACACTTCCCAGCTTAATTCTCTAGTAAGTTCTAAGTGTTCTTCATTACTCAGCAGAGCCCTATAGTAATTGTTCTCTTTTTAAATGAAAGACCTAATACTTTCAACCACCTAGTTAACTGCGGAATGCACTCAACATTTCTTTCCATACTGCCTTCCTATTACTTAAAAGATAATAATCAAATACCAATTCCTTCATCTGTCATTCGAGGCCTTCACCAAACAGTCTTAGTCTCTTTTCAGCCTCATCTCTGGCTAAGACTCTGCTATCCAATCTTTGTTTCAGTGACTTGGAACTTATCACCACGTTCCAGAATGCGCAAAGCTCCTTTAAAGCCTCAGGCCTTTATACATGAAGAAACTAATACTCTGGGAAAAGTAATTTAGTGAGCATGTACAGGTACTTTAAAGTACAAGAGAAACAGACAAGAGGAGGAGAGAGACAAGGGATCATACCACCACAATGATGGGGGGATGGGATGAAAAGGACCCTACCCTCTGACTTGTCTTCTCCAAAAAGGCTCTTTCTGCACACCTCGGCAGTGGAACCACTGCTCTTGCCTAAGGACTCTTCCCAGCCTGTGAATCCTATCTTACCTGATCCTGAATCTCTGCAGCATCTCAGGACCTGTATTTCAGCTTTCCCAATACTCTCTCCCCTGGTAACCTCCATCCAGTCCCAAGGGAATTAAATACCAACTATGTGAAAATTACTCCTGCTAAACTGTCTCAAGCCTTGATTTCACTTCAGAATTCCTGACCCTAATAGCCTTTTTGACATCTCCAAGCAATATCCAAAAGGAGTCTGAACAACTCTAATCGTCACACCCCTGCCTGCTTTCCTGGCCTCAGCAGCATTCATCATAGCAGACCATGCCAACCTTCCAGAAGCACATTCTTTTCTTTTTTGTTTTTCTTTTTAACTCACAGATGGCTTCTCCTTAAGTTTTCTTTACTGGCTCCTCCTCCTCTAACCCCTAAATAGTAACATGCCCCAGGGCCTGAGCCTAGGCCCCTTTCACTTCTCTGTCACTATTTTCTAGTCAACTATATGCTGATGGCTCCCAAATTTATAGCTCTAGCTCAGCTCTCTCCCTTGAGTTCCAGACTCATATACTCACTTGACAGCTCCAGTTGGATATGTCAAACCTAACTTCCAAAACGGAACTCTTGACTTGCTCCCCCTAATCTAATCCTTTCCTTCATTTCAGTAAATGGTACTCAAATGGTCAAATCTAAATCCTAGAAGTTATTTTTGTTTCTCTCCTTTCCATCGTGGTCCATATCCAATCCTTGAGGAAACTACATCAATCTCCTTTCAAACCATCACCTAACTCGATCTGTTCTCTCCATCTCTACCATCACCAGTCTAAACCAACACCATCAATAGCTTCCTAATTGGTTTCTTCTTTTTTCTTTTTCCTAATTGGTTTCTGTTTCATTCTTGCTCCTCTCCTCTCCATTCTCTGCCTAAGAGCCCGCATGATCTTTTTAAAATGCAGTAATACACCTGTACTGAGTACTTACTATGTGCCAGAAAGTGTTCTAAGAGTATCTTAACTCTTTCCCTCCTCACAGAAGAGGGTAGGATCTATTTTTACTCACAATTTTACAATAGAGAAACTGAGGCACAGAAAGGTTAAGTTCCTAGCCCCCAAATCACAGCAATGTCAATCAGATCATGTTACTACCCTGCTTGAAACCATGAGTTTCACTAGAATAAAATTTAAGTTCCTTATCATGGCTTAAAGGCCCCATACAAACTACCTCTATTTACTTCTCCAACTTAATTTTCTCCTCCTTGTCTCCCTTATTACATTCTAGTCACTATGATTATCTACCTATTTTATGCATAAGCCCTTTCCTGCCTTGATCCTTTACAATTGCTGTTCCCTCTGCCCTGAATATATCTTGATTCGGCTCTCTACTTGTTCATTCAAGAATGAACAAGTCTCAGCTCCATTAATTACACTCATTCCATCACCCTATTTCCTCCCAGCACTCACGTTGATCTTTATCTTGTTTTCCTGTTTATTATCTGTTTTACCACTAGAATATAAATTCCAGAACAGAAACCTTATGGGTCTTGTATCCCCAGTGCCTAGTACAGTGCACCCAGTACAATGTACATGCTTAGGAAACCTTTGATGAACAAATGTCATCTGCCACTGCCTTCACATGTGAGGCCTTCTTTCTATTCTCTGTATTCTTAACTCCTACTCATCCTTCAAGACTCAAATATCGTGGCTTCTAGGAAGCTGTGGTTTTCCGAGTCCCCATGGCACCTTTTATAAAACCTGATAGTTTTTTAATGCTCCTGTGTCTCTTTCAGATACTTCCTCTGGTGTACCTCCAGGGCTTAAACATCTCTTCCGTGTTCAGCTTTGTGCCTGGCATACACAGGTGCTTTAACTACGTCTGTTGAACACATACATGAATGAATTTGTGAAAAAGTGGGGGTTGACCCAGAATACGAATCTAGTCACCGAATGTTCCTCGGTTACCCGCTGACCCCTCCCTCAGACGCGGCTGTGTATCTTGGCTAGGACCCGACCTCCCTGGACCTCCGTTTCCCTGGCTTACGCCTCACCTGCCAATGACGTCCTTGGGGTCGTACTTCTGGTAAAATTCCTTGGCAGCGGCCCAGTCAGGCAGCTCATCCTCTGGCCCCACGTCCAGCGTCATTCCGTAGGCGGTGGGGGCCTTTGTGGAGGAAACGGAGGGCAGTGAGGGCAGGGAGGCCCATGTGCTCTGAGAGGACGCACATCGTGGCTCCCGGACGCGCAGCCCTTGCGTCTGGGGCGCCAGGAACCTGGGGGTTGGGGACGGGGTGGGGGAAGGATCGGGACTGGGGAGACCCCACGAAAAGGCCTAGGAGGCGGGAGAGGTGGCAGGACAGGGACAGGGACGGGGAGGTGAGGGGAAAAGGTACGGAGGAAGGGAAGGGGCACACTGGCAGCTGGCTGTTGCTGCGCAGGCGCACTTGGGCGGGTCCTGGGATGGGGCGCGGGGTCTCGTGCAGGCTTACCTGCAGGGGCGGGAAAAGAAGCCAGGGTCAACACTAGGTCGCTAGGTTTCGGGGTTCGTCTGTATTCGTTTACCTTACGCCCAGGCGGGGCCGGCAAAAACATTAGGCCCCGCCCCTATCTTGTCTGCCAATGACCAGCACCGCCCGAAAACGAAGGTTCAAAAACCCTTCCAATTGGTAATTGGTAGTCCAATAGGAAGCCCAGAGTTTCGAGCCTGGCGCAGACGTTGGACCTCAGTTACCAAAGGCTGCGACGCTAGGGCAGAGCTTTGGATGCTGCCAATCAGCAATCGGCGTCTGCTTGGAGGCAGCAGAGGGTGGAGCTTGCTTACGGGTAGTGCTGAAGGCATGGAGCAGGACCCGGAAGTTAGGTTTACAGAGACGCCTGACCTTTAGGTATCTGATCTGGACGCGGGATTTGTCGCTCTGGGCTTGGACATGGCGCCTTCAGACTCCTCACAGCATCCCTATCTGAATTCGGCTTTTAAATGTTAGCAGCTTAGTCCAAAGCCTTGAGAGGCAGACTCCAGCTCTTAAAATGCTTCGCACAGACATCCTGGACCCTAACTTGGTCAACTTGGTGTGGACGGTCAGTCAGAAGAGGTTCTCTCGTTCTGTGGCTGCTCCGACTCTTCAGTTCCTCCAGTCTAATGCTCACCGTCTGGGGTTATACATTTCCTAATCTTCCACCACCCACTTCCAAAAGCCTTGAGAAGTATCACCCTCGTTCCAAGCCTGCCAGGTTGTGCAATTCGGCCAGGAGCGACTTCACAAGCCTCAGTGCCCAGCTAAACCCGGCATTCTCTTGGTGAATGTTTTTATTTGAATAAATATTTATTGCCTAAGCACCAAAGTAACAGCAATGACAAAGGAAAGTTCCTACTCTTGTGAAGGTATAGTCTGGTGAGAGGCACAGATGGAATTCACATAATCTTCTAACACATGTCTTTAAAATGTCACATTTTGGGATTTCAACCATATAGGAGAAAAACGAATCCAAGTAACTTTTTAACAGAATCATTTGACTTTTATGCCATCAATCTAATGACAAAATAATTGCAAAGAAAAATTGAATAAACTTGTTTGGTAGTATAAGTGGGCTAATTATGCTGAAATTGAGCAAGGGAACATATTGATGTAGTTGGCTGTCAAGGTCCTTACTGTGGGAATACCAAATTTGGAATGGGGAAAGACAACCTTATGACTGATTGAAATTGGAGGTATTTTTAAAAATAGGTAAAATTAGGCTAGCTCCAACCTCTCGAAGGGCCTAGAAACAGTAACATCCCAGTAGAAGGAGCACAGCTAGTGTCTTGACACTGGTTTCAAAGTAACAGTACCCAATAAAAGGAACCAGTATTCCTTGGGAGACAACAGCTAGTTCTCAGGCTGGAGCAGAGGAAGTAAGATGAGCACGAAATAATTGGTGTCAGAAAGTAAATGAAGGAAGATGGGGACTTACCAGAAGGACACAAGAACTAGGTTGAAGGGGTTTCCACAAATCAAAAGCATAGATAAGAACAATGAGACTGAGAGGGCCATGAGGTGGCCTTCTAATGTGCTAGAAATGGTCTAATTAGCCTAGGTAGTAATTACACAGGTGTGTTCATATAAAAATATTCACCAAGCCGTGCACTTAAGATCTGCTTTGTATCTTTACTGTAAATTGTACCTCAACAAAACATTTTAAGGAAAATGACAGTAATGCATATAATGAACTAAAAAAACGAGACCATACTAACACTAAAAATTGTAAATTAATGGAGAAAAAGACTTCACATAATGCAAACTAATAAACATAGGCAGAATAACAACACATAACTGAAGCCTCTTAATAACTGCCTTGGGCAAAATAGGCATTAAAATTATTAGTGAAAATTTGCTGGGGAACAGACTATATATACTGATTGCTTTTTAATTAAAATGGAAAAAAGTTATCCTTACTTTGCAGAAATCTGACAGACACAACCTTAACTAAACTGTCAATGTTACCATCAACAGTAAGGGCAAACTGACATCATGTGCCCTTGATGTGACATACTGAGGACACAAAACTTCCATATTTCTGCCAAAAATGCATAACCTAAATCCATTCATAAGAACCCAAACTGAGGGATATTCTACAAATGGGCCTTGCCTCAAAAATGCCATGAAAGGCAAAAATAGAAAGGATGAGAATCTACTAAAAATTGAAGGAGACTAAGGATCTGACAGCTAAATGCAGAGTATTCACACACTGGAACTAAAGCAGAAAATAAACTGGTATAAAGGATGTTATTGGAACAACTGCCAAATTTGAATATTGAGTATATATTAGAATATTGTACTGATGTTAACTTCATGGAATTATATAATTGTACTCGAGTTATGTAAGAGAATATCCTTGTTCTGAGGAGACAGATTATGAACTATTTAGGGATGAAGGGCCTTCAACTTACCCTCAAATGGTTCAGCAATAATAGTAAGTATATTTAGAAAAACATAGGAATACCTCATTTTATTGCTCACTTTCTATTGTGCTCTGCAGATACTGTTTTTACAAATTGAAAAGTTTGTGGCAACCCTATGTTGTCTATTGGTGCCATTTTTCCAAGAGCATTTGCTCACTTCAAGTCTCTGTGTCATATTTTAGTATTTCTTGCAATATTTCAAACTTTTTCACTGTATTTCTTGTGATCTGTGATCAGTGATTATGACTTGCTGAAAGCTCAGATGACGATTAACATTTTTTAGGAATAAAGTTTTTAACTGATGTATGTACATTGTTTTTTAGATATAGACTACAGTATGGTGTAAGCCTAACTTTTACACGTATGCACTGGAAAACCAAAAATTCATTTGATTCACTTGCTTTATTGCAATATTTGCTCTTTTACAGTGGTTGGGAACTGAACCTGCAATATCTCCAAAGTATGCCTGTGTAAAGCAAATAGGTGAAAGGTTAAAAATTATAAATAATAAACCTAGGTGAAAAATACATGACTTAATTATACTGTATCACTGTTCTGCAGGTCTGAAATCTTTTCAAAATAAAGAGTTAAAAAATAGTGAAACCTCATTTATTCAGTTTGGGGGAATGGGATATTCTATTCTAGTAAACTTAAAGCTGATCAAATATTAGCTGTGAAAGTTTCTGTAAAAATTTCTCTAAAATGTTGTTTCCCCAGGCAACACCTCACACCAATTGTATCAGAATCTCTTAAGGGTAAATGCCAGGCATAAATAATTTTTAAGGCTCCCCATTGGTTCCATTGTGAAGCCAAAGTTGAAAACCACTGCCCTATGTATGGCTTCTACCCATTGCTGTAAATTCTAACCCCTGGGACCAACTACAGATTGTCTTCATTTCTTCTTGGAGCACTTTGTAACACTGAAGACAACCATCATGTGCCTCTCCTTCCCCTTTAATCTTCTCTCTTCAGTGTGCAACATTCCTAATTCCTTTGGGCGCTCTGCTGGTCTCTGAGTGGTGATCAAATAACCCACAAATTCCATTCTCAAGGCACGTGTACTCCAAGAGACATGTACAAGAACGTCCATAGCAGCATGACCCATAATATTCCCAAACTGGAAATATCCCAGAAGTCCACTAACAGAAAATGGACAAATCGTAATATATTCCTATAATGGTATACTATACAATAACGTAAACTACAGCTACTCCAAATAGTGATGACTCTCACAATGCTAAGAAGCCAGACATACAAAGAATATATATGATTCCATTTATACAATGTTTGAATGCAGGCAAAACTAAAATACATTGTTAAAAGTCAGACCAGTAGTTACCTGTGAAGGAAGGGCGGACTAGTGATTGGGAGGGGTATAAAGGAGGCTTTGGAGTGCTGGCAGAGCAATTTTTTGACTAAATATTGGCTTCCAGATGTTTGATTCGTGTTAAATTATTGAGCTGTGTATTTTTTTTTGGATATTTTCCTATATTGTGATCTATCTCATGATTCACAAAATGCTTAAAATATTAGGCCTAAGATAAAGGATATGAAAATACATTAATCATGCAAATTTCCATATACAGAGTGGTGGCTGCTATTATCCAACCCTTTCACTCCTCTCTCAACCCTGAAACCAAACTGCTGGGTTCAATCTCAACTCCACCACCTACTAGCTGTGTAGTGTTGGGTAATGTGTGCCTGTTTCCTCAACTATAATATGAAAACAATGATCCTACTATTGAGTGAATGTGAGGACTGAAGGAGTTAAAAAATAGGAAGTATGAGAACACAGCCTGGAATACAATGAGCACTTAAGAAGTAAGTAGCTGCTGCTACTAGTTCTCTTCCCTTCCTCCAGGGTCTCTGTTGATGTGTAAGGGAGAAAAGCTGGGGTCTTTCCAAGAAGGAAACTTCCAGAAGGAAAAGGGGAGGACTTTCCTTCTCTTGGAACTCCTAGGAGGGGGAAATGCAGACTTCTGCTATCAGTCAGATGTCCAAGGGCCGAGGGAAAAGCAGGGGAAGAACAATTAGGAGCATTTCACCACTAAAGAAAGGTTTTTATTACAAAACAAATTCTAATAAAATCAGGCCTGGTTTTCGACCCACCTCTGGGTAGAGGCCCCCAGGATGGAAGAGGCTGGGGGGAAGAGGAGATAGATGGTAGGCACTGAAAGAAGAGAGCAGACTGATCTCCCCTCATTGGTCCTAGCTGTTGCCTCCTTATATAAAGGGCTAGAAGAGCTCTTCCAAAGCCTTTTGAAAGGGGAACTATCCTTCCAGGAAGGACAACTGCTGGCACTGGATCCTAGCAATACCACATTGCAGGATCCAGGAGGTCTCGGCTGACTCTAGGCAGAGGCCACCAAGAGTCATTCAGTCTGGGCGACGGCGTAGGAAAGCAGCCACAGAAGCATGGAACCCAGAATGAAGACAGCAAGCCAGACAGCAAAGCTGACCAGGATGAACCTCCGGGCCTGGGCCCCCCAGTGCACTGCCTCCTCGGACTGGCCTGCCTTATGCCGCTCTTCCGCCTGTGGGGGCAGGTTTTTGGTTAGGTTCTTCCCCTGCTTCTGCCCCAAAGTGCCCATTGCCCCACTCCAATCTTCCATTCTTGTTCCAGCTCACAACCTCACACCCAAACCTTTTACTTTCCTTTCTAATTTCTATTTCTCATGCCTTGTCTGCAAAGTAAGGCAGCCACTTTGCTCTACCTACTTTTCAGGGTGGCATTGTTAGCACAAAGGATCACATACAGGGAAGTACTTTTAAACTGTTTCATTCTCCATCCTTTTCTATTCATCCAAGATTCATTCAGAGTTTGGAATTCCTGGAGTTTTTCACTCATGTCTAGACAACACCCCATTCTCATTAGCCCAGTGGGCCTCAGCTTTTCATTAAGGATTCTTTTTATTATTTTGCCCTAATGAAATTCAGAAATTTTTATGATTATAGGAATACAGTTTCTGATTGTTAAAATATAACTAGGGTTAAGAAAAATTGAGCAGGATGTTTGTATTAGCCTGTGTGGCCTTTCAAAAGGTACATGTGCAGTTTCTGTTAGGTGTTTTGAAATGGTAAAGCCCTGTCAAAAACTCCATAGCTTCATTACAAACTCCTTCAAATGGTTCTAATCACTGCACAGCTACCTCAAGTCTTGCCCCTTCCAATTCACCTTCCATGTAGGCCTTGAGAGCATATCTTACTGAAAACAAATCTGACCGCATCACTCTCCCCTGCAAAACACCTTGAATAGCTCCCCAGTACTTTCAATATAAAGTTGTAACTCCAAAACACAACACTGGAAGCCCTTGGATATGGGAGCCCTCTGACCTCCTCTCTCACTATTTCTCCCTGGTCTCATCATGCTGAATTGATAATAATCCAGGTCTTTGTACATACTGTCCCCCTTATTTGGAATGCCCTTTCACTCTTATTCACTCATCCTTTAAGGTTACTCTCCTTTCACTTCCCCTAGGATGCCTTTCCTCTCACCTACTCTACTATACACACATACCACACATATGTATCCTGTCTTAACTCCCAGAACATGCTGTGCTTCCCCTATCATAGTACTCATCAGCTGCATTCATTTGTAATTATCCATTTTCACAGCCATCATTTTCATTGACTGTGGGCCCTTTGACAGCAGGAACCATGTCTTATTGTTTCTGGTACTAGGCCCAGAGCCGAGCTCTGACAGGTACTTAGTAACTGATTAATGTAAATGGATGAAATATATGAAACTACTGCCTGGCTATACTCGCCCCATGCTCCCATAGGAATTGCATTCCTCACCTTGATGGCAAACACAAGTGCCAGGACTCCCAGTTAAGAGCAGCCACAGATAATGCTAGTAGCTGCCCAGCAGTGGAGGCGGAGCCAGCAGCAGTGAATGGGGGATGGAGAACAAGCAGCTTCCATGTTGCTCATCAAGCTCTCCACTGCCTTCTCCTCGTCCTCCATCACCTGTGGGCGATAGTCAAGGTACTTGTAAGCCCAACAACTGAGCCCTCGGTCTGTCTTGCTCAGACTCCACCCCTCTGTGATCATATCCTCATGGCCTAGTCCCTAAGGAATGCTGCCTTACTGGGGAGTTCCTCTAGTGACTCATAGAGCAAGAGAGGGTATGTGTGGCTGGAATCCTTTTTCTCAGCCTAAGATTCTGAATCTTTACAGGCAAGCCAGTGTGAACACAGCATTATCTGCATTACTTGTTGTTTTGACAAGTGGGGAAAAGCAAAATGACAGGTGACCATTGAAGCAGGAGAGAAACAACAAATCTCAGATGCTAAGAATCTGAGACTATCCAAATTAATGATGTTACACTGTATTTCAAAGGGCCCTAAAATTCCCTTAAGTTCCTCAGAAGTTGCCCAATTGGGTCAGAGAATGGCACCCTAGATCCTGGGCCCTTCAAACAAAACAGTCATTTCATGTGAAAAGTTCTGGAATGGGGTAAAGAAAGGAAAAAGTACCCACCAACTGAGCTCTTTATGGTGGGAGAAACATCAGCAAAACCTTACCTCCCCCAACTGGGGCCTCCTTTACTATGCTCTCTGCCACCTCCTCTCCATTTTAACCCAAGCCACACAGTTTGATTAACACTCTTGAGTCTAAATGACCTCATAGCCCAAACAGAAAGCTGCATGATGCCCTACTTAATCATTTGTCATCTCCCTATTCCCCAAGTCCACTGAGCTCTGGCACCCTCATTTCCAACCATTCCCCTACATCCTAGACAAAATGGAACCATTTGCAGTTCTTTGAATAGCAGTAACCAAGGATAGAAAGGATGAAAGAGGGAGGGTAAGCAGAGAGCAAAGAATGGTAATGTGCTATAAAGCTGCAGGTGAGTGGGCATGAGAAATCAGATGAGGTAAACACAGTCTTCAGACAACACAGGGGTCTACCGAGTTGAGATCAGAGAAAAGGAAAAAACAAACAGGGGCGCTTACCTGGCTATGGGCCTTGAGGAACTTTGAGTTTCAGCTTCTGCCTCAGGTTTGATTTGGCTTGGGTGGAGATGGAGCTGACTCAGGGCTCCAACACAAGCCCAGCGGTGTGGTTGGGTGGCCTGCCACCACCTTTAAAGCCCCAGGAGCTTGTAAAGGGGTGTGACTGCCTCAAACCAGTTTGGCTAGAGGAAATCAAGGACAAAAGATGGAACTAGAGGTAGGATACCCGCCTTCTGGAAAAGGAATGAAAGCACCTAACAGGGATAAAAGCAGGTAAAAGTCTGAGGCATCAGAGAGCTCTGGGATAAAGTCCAGAACCAAGGAAATGGAAGGAGGGACAAACTATGAGTTGGAATGACAAACTGAAACTTTAGGGAAAGGAACCTTTCATCAGATTGACCAATTTCCCCTAGTCTTGGGTGCTGGGTGATTTCTGCCTCAAAGATATGTCATTCTGGGTTAATGATCAGACTAGGGTTTGGCAAGAGCAAGAGAGAGAAAAACAATGCCCAAGTTCCCACCCAGCCCTCCACCAGACCAGAAAATCAGAAGCCTCCTTACGCGGATGCTCATACAGAAACTAAGTTTATTATTTTTTTCTTCTTAAAAAAAAAAAGAAAAAAAAACCTCATTGTAGAGAGCCCCTCCCCTTTTCCCTAAGGGTGGGGGACTGTGAAGATAGCTGGGGAATCAAGTACAGGGGGGTGGGGAAAGAGACTATCTTGCCACCCTTAACACTGCCCAGCCATGTGGGGTGGAAGGGAAGGGGATACGTGAAGAGCCCCATTTCCATGATAACCAGTTGCCTACCCCCTACTTTGGTGGAAAGAAGGGAGAAGGCCCCTCTGTCTCCCTGGAGGCTTTCCCCCTCAAAAGACTTCAAGTAGTGGTTAACAGAGTCAGGCCTGGTCATAGAGGAAGAGGGGCCATGGTGGAAAGCCTAGGTGGAAGGGCAGCCCTCTCACGTCTTGGCCTTGCGGCCTCTGTGACTAATGGTAGGGCCAGCCAGGTGGGGAGGGGCACTGCTGCGCAAGATGCGCTGGTCCCCTTGGTTGGTGGCTCCAGCAAGCCGGCGGGGCCCAGGCCGGGAACGTGGGGTCCCATCCCCTTCCTCCTCTTCTGAGGCTTCAGCTTCGGACTCCTCTACTGAACCCTCAGGTCCCAGGGGACTTGGAGGCTGTAAGCGGCTCCGCTTTGCCATCCCAGGACCCCCACTGACTGGAGCCCCTGGCCGTTTGCGAGGCACCTTCTCAGTCTCCAGTGGGGGAACTAGAGACCCTGGACGCAGCCGGGTTGAACGCAGTTTTGGAGCTAATGATGCCACAGGTGGTGTCAATTCTATCCCACCTGGCCCACTATCTGCTAAATCCAGGTCATCCTGAATTACAGCCACTACCATGGACCCTTCACTCTTCCGTCCCCGCATTCCCTCCGCTTCAAGCCGCAAGCGGGCCAGGCGAGTGAGGGGGCGGTTTCCATCCTCATCAGAGGAGCTACCTTCACTCTCCCCCTGGCCCTGGGGTTGCCGCCGCCTCCCCAATCCACAACTCTCAAGGACAGAAGAGCTGTCACGGTCCAAACTTGGGATCTGGCTGGGCCGAGGTGATGGTGGATTCTTGGGAGGCCGGCCCCTCTTCCGCTTGGGTGGGGATGTTGAAATGGTTAGAGTGGTGACAGTGTTGGTGACAGTAGCAGTGGGACAGGCTAGGAGTGGTGGGAGTGGTGGCAGGGGTGGTGGTAGCTGGGGTGGCTGTGTCCAGCTCTCTAAGCTGCCATCCGCTGGAGAGGAAATGGTCCCCGGAATGGGTAAATCTCGTGCCTTAGGGGGCCGGCCACGCCTTCTTTTCTCCACAGGTGATAGGATGATGGGCTCTGGTCTATGAATTGGCTGAGGTCCAAGAGGCTGGGGCCCAGGAATTAGCTGGGCTCCCAGGGCAGGCTCTGCAACAATAAGGGTCTCAGTCCCAAGGACTGAGTCAGGCCCATTGGTTTTTCCCTTAAAGATGGATGAAGGTGCCTCATCCACCCCTTGCCCAGCATCTGCTGGAGACCTGTTCTTCTTGGGGGGCCTCCCCCTCCGACGTTTCACAGCTGGAGGTGTGATGGCAAGCAGTGCCCCTTCTCCATTCTCTGGGCTGCCCCCACCGGTCACCCCCAGCTCAATGTGACGGCGAGCTATGAAGGGCTGCTGGGTTGAAGTGGGCAGTGTGGATCGGGGTGCAGCTTCACAGGGCCCACCGGTGGGAGGTGAGGATTCCAGCCCCAACATGTTGTGGGTAGATGGGCTTCCTGGGCTGGCACCAGTCTCAGAGAACCCAGGCACTAGGCTGCTGGAAGCTCCCCGCTGCTGTCGCCGTCGCCTCACCAGTTCCTTTTCCTCTACCACAGTCACTAGCCGTCCTGGCAGCTTGCGAAGCACTTTGGGGCCTGGAGGCTGCCCTGGCCGACCAGCTCCCTGACCCCTAATTTCTACATCGGCGCTGGTGCGACGCCTAGGGGGTCGGGCAGATGAAGGACCCTCAGGTGAGGAGGTGGCTGAGCATGAGGTTGATGGGGCTACGACTTCAGGTGAAACAAGTTCCTGCAGCTTCTCAGGGCTGGAGGTTGGGGTCTGGGCCTCCACCAGCTCTTCTGAGTTCCTGTCAGCCTCCAACGGCTCCTGAAGTAGCTCATCAGATGCTGCTGAAGGTGGGAGCTCCAGCCCATTGCTCTCACTCTGACACATGGGCACCTCACCATCAGGCAGCACTGTGAGGACGGTGCCCTCAGCAGGCTCTGGCACCTCCTGCTCTTGACCGTTGGGGATGCTGTCATCCTCCAGAGTTGGGCTAGGTGCAGAAGAGGTGAGAGAAATGTTCTTCTCTGACACAGGCAGGATCTCAACAGCAAGTGGCAAGAGATCCTGAGGGGGCACAAGAGTAAGTGGGGAAGTCTCGGAATTGGCCATATCATCCAGCTCCAGGGACTCAGCAGATGCCAATGCCTGTGCACACAGTTCTGCCTCATGCCCCAAGCCCAAAGGGAGGTTGGTGACTGGAGGGGAGATGGGCAAAGAAGGCAGACTAAGCAGAAGAGGGGAGGAAGGAGTTAAGAGAGAAGTTTGGCCTGGAGGTAGGGTATGAGCTGGTGGAGGGGTACAGGCAGGAGGAGGGGTGCAGGCAGAAGAACAAGAGGGAGGAATCTGTGAAGGAGGAAGTGGAGAAGGCAAGATATGGACAGGAAACATGGTTATTCGATTTGGGGCTGAAATGGGGGTTGGTGTGGGGATTGGGGCAGGAATTATAGGAGCTAAAGCTGGAGTGGGTCGAGGCTTAGGTGCTGGCCGGGTAACTCGCTCCCTGGAAGGGCTGCAGCGAGGGTGTGTGGAGGTACTGAGGGTATGATGGGTGGATATGACAGGAGTGTGGTTTGCCCCTTGGGTTTCAGCCCGGGCTCCACGAAGACGCTCACTGACGCGAGTCCCTGGCCTTTCAGGGGCCTTGGCCTTCTTACTGCGCCGGTGACTGCCTCCACCAGTCCCACAGGAAACCTCATCTCCAGCCCCTGGCCCCTCCTCTTCCTCTTGGGGTAGGCGGAACACCTCCTCCTTGGCTTGGTCCAGGTCCTTGCGGGCAGCTTCCACTTGCTCCTACCAACAGCAGAGCCCAAGGGGTGGTCAGAGAGAGACAAGCAGGGCTGGGAGTGAACAGAAAGCAAGCAGCTTCCCATTTCCATCTACATCCCCTGGAAATACTCACTTCTGCCTGCTTGAGCTCCTCTCGGCTCACCTCCTCCAATGAGGCTTCCAGGAATTTCATGGCATAGCGCTCAATAGGGGTCAGCTGTGGGGAGGAGCAGTGGTGATGAACACAGGGACTTGGGGCCCAGGGCCCATCACCCTTGATTTTCACCAGGGAAGAAAGAAGGAGGGTCACAGAGTCTAGAGGAAGGAGTTGTGGAAGGTGAAGTTGAGAACCAGTGGGTCTGAAAATGACCTGTTCAACAAGGGCAGCAATTTCCTGCTCAGCCCG